TCAACGCACTCAACAACAAGAGAGCTCTGCATTAATTAAAATATCACAGAGATGAGTTGGAATGTTTGCAGTGTGCGGAATTCAGATTTACTTTGCACAAAACATTCCTGCAAGCGCCCGTCTCCTTCTCAAATCTGAGTAAACTAGCTGTCTTGGAATGTTAATAACATTCTCCAAGAATATTTATGCTTTTGAGTTCATTTAAAATATTGTTTATCAGAGTTCAACTGTTATTTTGTAGTTTTACTTTTACTTTTATTACTTTTAATTATAGAGTACTATGTGCAATTTCAACATATTTGAATAATGTAATAAGTGAGAATTACGAGGCAGATTTAAAAAACTGTAAATGGTAATTTCCTATGACAATATATTTTAGTTTTATTTTATGACGTGTTATTAAATTAAGGGGCAAACATTTGAGATTGAGGCTATTTGAGGACGATAATATCATAAACATATCAAATACAAATTTAACACTTTGCACTCAATGTTTCTTGAGTTCAGTATATTTTTACAAGAAAACATTAAAAAATGACATGTGTATGGGAAGCTGCAGCTGTGTTCTATATTCATGAGTTACGTCACCTTTAGGAATCTATTCTGTGGTTACATCATGAAAACGTGAATTAATGATTAGACTGACTAAGAGAAGGTTTTTAAATAAATATAAAGTTTATCAACTGCCAACTGCCATGATAAGAACTCCTTGAATTCGCCTACTTTTAGTAAAATAGTTGAGAACAGTTTGCCCTTAGGTGTCTACAATTGTTTGATGAAAACAGTTTTTTTTTTTTTTTCAATTATCTTTCGGAAGATTTGGAGCACTATTACTACTGCTGTTGATTTTGTTCACTTTCTCTTAAAAAGCTTGATGAGGGTTGTAAAGTGGTAACGCTTCTGCTAGACCTTTCCAAGGTATTTGATCGAGTTACCCATTATATTTGTTGTGTATTCACATGGGTATTCACATATGCACGGGACTGACACTGAGTTGCTTACTTGGAATCAATACTTTTTTTTATTTGACTCAATCCCACCACTATCAGAAGACCTATCGCTGAACAGTGCGCTGCATAAAATAGATCGGTTTTTTGCCGCACCCTGTATTTACCAACTTGTCATTAATCTTTGTTTATAGTTCAACCGCATATATTGTGCAGCTTTATATGGTTTTAGCGAATTTCCCATATAGGGAATAAGCTATTACCGTAGTACTCATGGTAAGACCTGGACCCGGGACCAATTTACTTTTTCGTTTTGAGGTCCCTAGAGGCCAAAAACACCATCCGTTCGAATTCATATATATATATATTTCTATATGTGTCCGTTAGCGCGATAACTCGAGCAAAAATCATCCGATTTTTATGAAATTTGGTACAAATGTGTAAACCTACGTTTATTCTAACGAGTTCGCGAACCAGCATGATCGGACTATGGGAAGAGGGGTTTATGGGGGGTTTTATGGGGTAAAAATTGGTTTTTCCCATTTTTCCCCTAAAAACATAAAATTTAGCAACTTCTTTCCAAACCATTTTGTAGAGCTTAAAAAACAAATAATTTAGTATATTGAAGCGTTATTATGCGCCCAATGGCTACGGAGAAAATTTAAAAAATCGTAAATTTAAAATTCCCATGTTATTCTTATGGAGAAAATTGTAAACTGTTGTAGTTTGCTTGTTTATGAGCATATTTTGATCAAATTTGGAAAATGCATTCATTTTATACTAAACTATTAACATTGTACAAAAAAAACACCTTTTTACCACCCTCCCTGTTGCAGCAAACCTAAGTACTCGTTAAACTAATGCTATTTAAATAGGGAATAAATGTAATATTTTTAAGGAGACATTTTAGTGTAAATCCAATCAGGCAAATGGAAATTCGCTTAGTCTGCAGGTTTGCTGCGGCGGGGGTATTTAAGTTTCGAATAGTTAATCTTAAGATAACTCTAGACTATAGTTTTTCAAAACTATTAAAACAAAAAACAAAATGTATGGACCCCCTAGGTATCTTCCTAGTCTTAAGATTTAAAGTAAAATAAATATTACCTCCTTATTCTACAGGCTTGTTTTCAAGTACAGTTTCTCTCAATGTTCATTGCGAGGGGGATTTTAAATGCAAATATACACAAAGTTTGGCAAATCTTTCTAAATTAAAAAAGTTGGTTTTATTTGATTATTGCTTTAAATATCCCCCTTTTATTCAAATGAGTTAGTATTATCCACTTGTTTCTTTTCAGCTTGAACCAAGAACAATAAGCATGCCTTTCACAGCAGTATTTTTTTCAATTAAAATTAAATGGAAAATTGTTATTTTTCATTTAAATATTGACAGACCATCTTATATATACAGGGTGAAACACAAAGATGTTGCTATTTTTGATTTAACAGACGTATAGAACACATGACAATCTCAACACTCTACACTATAAAATAGGTTATGCATGTGGAAAGAAAACACCCCCGAGTCTCATTTGATTCTGATTAATTAAAAAAAATAGCAGTGTAACAAAAAAACATCATCATTAGCAACAAAGTTTAATAGCTTGATTAAAAATTACTTAGCAATTTATAAAATTAGTTTAAATGAAGGGTTATGAAACAAATTAAATTTATCTATATTGTCAATAATTAATTATTGTAAAAATTGTAAAATTGATAGAAAAAATGCAATATACTTATTCAATTTTTATTATTATTAAGTAACATGAGAAGAATCAATAACTAATTTGATATGGTTCTGCAAACAAATTTACTTTTAACAAAAATTCAAAAATGCATCATTCATTATCATTTGGTGTTCTGTCATTCTGTTCTGATTGGCAAGACTAAATTTGGACTCTATAGAGATTACTGATGTGGAGATATAAAAAAATATCAAACCAAAAAAATACCACCCTCCTTGTGAGTCACCCTATATTTATTCATATTTCATGTTTAACACTATTTACAGTTTTTCTGTTTCATTAATTAAATAACAAACAATAGTGTGGGGTAGCATTATTATTTCGAAATAAAATTAGGCACCAAGAAATTACAATTTGTATAACCAGTTATTATTAAACACATGTAAAGTGTTTGTCATTGGTGGATAGAGATAAATCTTTATCTACTTACATCGACTTTGGATACAAGTAAACATTCTTTTGTAAAATTTTAATATTGTTTTTCTGCGTGTTTCCCACCCAGTGTTTTATGAAACAATCCTCTTTTGTGGGGTAAATTGTAAAGTGTGATTGAGTGTTCCTTGGTCATAAAACCAAAGAATAAGAGGTAGTTAAATAACAAATTAATAGATTGATTTCAAAGATAAATAGTTATTTGTATAACTAGTGGGCGAAGTGGCACTTAGCTGCAAACGAGAGAAATGTTTACGTATGAGCCGTAGGCGAGTGAGGAAAGTTTTTTGAGTGCAGCAAAGGCAGTTTGCACTGGTTTTACACATTATATTTTTCCCTACAGTTACTATAAATCATATAAATAATTAGTCTTTCAAACACTGTACAACACGTTTTTAGGTTAGATTAGATTAAATCAAAACATTGAACGAAATGGGAAACTCTGCACCAGCTGATCGTAGTCATAACATCTTTAAGTGTTGCCAACTTTACAAGCGTACACGGATTAGGTGCATCATAAAAGCACACTGTTTTGGTTTAAATACTGGTGTGCGGCAAAGTAAAAACTGTGCGCCAAAGTAAGGCTTTCTGTACAATAATCTATGCAAGGAAACCCACTTTGTCGGGTGACTGTATGAAAAAATAATTTATAAATAAAAATACATTGATGCACATATTTTAAGCTTTACCGGACAGACACACCTTACCATAAAGTTGCCTTATTACTGTGGTAGGCGTTATAAAAGGCATGAATAACAACCAATGTCTAAAATTAAAGCACCATTGATCATAGTCAGTATCTGAAGACATTGTGGCCAAAGCAAAGGTGTTTTAATGAGTACAAGAATAGTTGTGATAGGATTGTAATAGAGAAAGTTATTCGTGAAACAAAGATTAAACCACAAGTTTTGCAGGAGTAATAAGTCAGCATAAGTTTGCTGAAGCCAACAAGACGAACCAATCCCAACTAATGAGAGGCAAAATAGTTTGACAAATTGGCTTCAAAGTTTGTATAATCAATTATCTCACTGGTTTAGGTAATTTGTGCAACTTGTGGGATGGGAAGGGGCAAGATAACTGTTTAGGTAGGTCACATATGTAATAAATTATACACACCAAGGTTTTTCCATGGTGTTAAGTTTTATAAGTGTTTAATTATTTCCGGAAAAAGTACCAAACAGAAAATAATTTACTGTTTAATAATCTTTTTTAATGGCAGAAACCTTTTATTCTGGTTAACTTTGTTAAAGGGTGGTTTAAACTAGGCTTTTGCTAATCACCTTAACTCTTTTGGTGCTAGAAAATGACGAAAATGTTGATGTTATTTTCCGAGAATGCAAGAGTTATTTATTTATTTCTTCCATAAAGTGCTAGGCTTGCTGCAGACGCAAAGTCTAGTTCGCTAGAAAAAATTGTAAAAATAAAATTGTTCATCTCAAAAGTGCTAAGGAACGATATATTGGGTCTCGATCATATGAGAAATCGAAAGGAATAATCGCTGTTTCAAAAGAATAACCGAGTCAACCGATATGAGCCTTTAAATTCACATAATCGAAAGTCGGGTCGGTACGATATATCATCGTTTCACACTTTTCCAATGAAACACCCACAACGATATATCGTTCCATAGCCCTTAACAGGAAAAATATGCACAACGATATATTGGCGCATAGCACTGAAAGGGTTAAGTAGGCCTAGAATAAATTACCGAAATCTAATATGTACTTCAGATGTTTGACTATTCTAAGGTGAACCGTGTAGCTCTACTACAGAATGAATCAAACTAATTAAATTACAAAAAATTATTGATGGCTCAGAGTTTTCAACTTTTACATTTAATTAGAGTTCAGATGTACAAAGGGAATAAAATATTCTTAAGTTATCAACAGTAAAATGTTTAATGTAATTAACATAAAACCTAAATGTTATAATGAAGTAAAAGTGACATTTAAAAATGTCATACTTCATACAGAGATATTATTTTTAAAAGTATAACAGTAAATAATCCATAGTGAGTTCACTGTGTCTATCTGAAATTTCATTAGTTAATTTTAAAATCAACAAATCACTGCAACACAAAAAATACCAATATAACACCAAATATGTTTGCTAGCAGTTTTTTTTTTACTTTACTAAGTTAATTAAAAATCATTTGATTTTATGTCTCAACTGAAATTCTAGTTTTGGAATACAGTATTCAACATATTAAAAAACCAAATAAATTGTACAACTGAGGATTAAAATGTATCTTAGCAAAACCTTACATTCCATAAGCCATTCTTAAATATAATTGTTGTGCAATATTAATTAAACTACTAGGCATATAAAAATAGTATGATTAGTATCAAAAATAGTTCAGTAATAAATTTCTCACATTTTTATGTAATGCAAGAATTAGCATATCAGTCTAAAACATTTGTATGCAAAATACCTGCTTAATGGCCTACTTAAATATTGTGGTTTTTTTCTTTTTTTAATCTGAGTTTTGTAATGAGCCTAGTTGATACAAGTTAAGAACACTCTTGGTGCTTGGTTTTAGTACAAATATAATACTTTTTACTACAAAAATATTGCTATATGCAGGGTGTCCAATAAGCCAACCTTTGTAAGCCATGAAGGCTAAGATAATCAGCTGCGGTGCAGTCCATTCCTTTGTTCTGGGGAGAAAATAGTTTTCATTAAAAATATATTATCACATCATTATGTGAATTTATTTAGTTGTGTTAAGTTGTTTATTTTATGCAATTATCAACAATTAAGACTATTGAACTTTCCGAGTATTATCTGATGCATATAACCTTTTTGTCAAACAACCATAAGATGTCAAACATTAACATAGATCTGTAAAAGTTTATTGTACATCAATTTTAGAAGTAATCTTATTAAAACTAGCTGTTTCACCCCGTTTGACTTCATAAGTATTAATAAAACTATTGATTGGTTAGGTTAAGCTGAAATCAGGGACGTATTTCAGTATCTGCCGCCTCTAGGCAACAAAGTTTGCCGCCGCCCCTCCCGCTCCCACTTTTCAACGCACTCCAAGACCTCACTAATATCACCCCAATGGCCAATACATGCCCTGTCAGCTGGTTTTGTGGAAAAATAATCGGTAATATTGCATGCTGCATCAACAAATTTAATAACTTTTCACCACACTATGATGTTTTTAGCTGTTTTACATGCGTTAATTGGTGGCTGAAAGTTACGTTTTGCTGGCCATGCCAGCTGTCATCGTCATTTGGGGACCGAGCAGGTTCTTACATCCCTAGGGCCGCAAAATCAGCTGATCGCTTACTTGTTTAAACATGAATGCATCATATTAAATACACAATCAGTATCTATAGCATTGCAATAGAATTGTTTTATTTTCACCGCTGCCTAGCAACTATTTATTTTAATTTTTGCTGATTCCTCAAATTATTTCTTCACATAACCTTAAAGTTCTAGTTGTGTTGACTATCAGTGTGCATCATTACAGGGCATAAAATAACATGTTAACTGGGCGACACAAGTGAAGGCTAAGATAATCAGCTGCGGTGCAGTCCATTCCTTTGTTCTGGGGAGAAAATAGTTTTCATTAAAAATATATTATCACATCATTATGTGAATTTATTTTGTTGTGTTAAGTTGTTTATTTTATGCAATTATCAACAATTAAGACTATTGAACTTTCCGAGTATTATCTGATGCATATAACCTTTTTGTCAAACAACCATAAGATGTCAAACATTAACATAGATCTGTAAAAGTTTATTGTACATCAATTTTAGAAGTAAGCTTATTAAAACTAGCTGTTTCACCCCGTTTGACTTCATAAGTATTAATAAAACTATTGATTGGTTAGGTTAAGCTGAAATCAGGGACGTATTTAAGTATCTGCCGCCTCTTGGTTGCCACCCCCCCTCCCGCTCCCACTTTTCAACGCACTCCACGACCTCACTAATATCACCCCAATGGCCAATACATGCCCTGTCAGCTGGTTTTGTGGAAAAATAATCGGTAATATTGCATGCTGCATCAACAAATTTAATAACTTTTCACCACACTATGATGTTTTTAGCTGTTTTACATGCGTTAATTGGTGGCTGAAAGTTACGTTTTGCTGGCCATGCCAGCTGTCATCGTCATTTGGGGACCGAGCAGGTTCTTACATCCCTAGGGCCGCAAAATCAGCTGATCGCTTACTTTTTTAAACATGAATGCATATCAAATAAATACACAATCAGTATCCATAGCATTGCAATAGAATTGTTTTATTTTCACCGCTGCCTAGCAACTATTTATTTTAATTTTTGCTGATTCCTCAAATTATTTCTTCACATAACCTTAAAGTTCTAGTTGTGTTGACTATCAGTGTGCATCATTATTGTGGTGAATAGTGCTATTAAGGTATAGTGTGGTGGAAAATGGCGTTCGTACCATGGACCGAAATGGTTTTGCAGCTCTCGATCGTTTTAGGTTGACTTCGTCTCGAACCTAAAAACTATCTCAAGCCGGCGAAACCTCATTTTCAGCCCTAGGTACGAAATATACTATTTCAACCCCTTTTAACGGACGTTTTTTGTGCGGTTTTTTTGCAAAACATTCTGACTTGGATAGGCCTACACGGAATGCACCATTTTTTTATCTAATCAGTATTTTTACAATCCCATTTTGCGGCTTTAAACGGCACACAAAATCGTCTGTATACAATGGTTCTTATAACGCTTTTCATTAAACACTATTAGTCAGATCCACTTGAGAGACGTGCTAATGGCTTTGATTTGAAATGAAAGAAATATGTTTTCTTAAACTATTTTTTTCTTACAAAAAACACATGAATCGCAAAGAAAAATTACGTACTTTTACTGAAAGAATAATATACAATTTTAAATTAGTTAAGTTTGGTACAGTGGTAAGTATTTAGTTCACACTTTCCTTCTTGATTTTAACCTAGCAAAAGAATCTTTCAGCTATAGTGCTGCCACTGCTTAGTGGTGTATGAAGTAAACAGAAGGGAGTGTTTTCTACGTTTGTCACTAGACATAGCGGCCGGCACGGCGACCCGCTCCCGCGGCGAGCGTGTCTGCCAGACCAATAGGGCAGCACGGACAACTCTACACAGCTGTGTAATAAACTATTGACGTTTGTTTGACTTGGATGCGTTCTGAAATAGTTGTATACTTAATCAAAATATTTGAAATGGCTATTTTCCCGTTCCCAAAATTATTTGCTAAAATTTTTTTTAGATTAAAACTTCGTTTTTTTATTTGTTTACCCTCAAAATTTTGCCGCCCCTAAAATTTGCCGCAGTCCGCCTATTCGGAAATATGTCCCTGGCTGAAATAAACAAAACAGAATACAGTAATACAAACAAATAATCACACCTGATTTTAATATGGTAATAAACGGTGGGGCACACGGAAGATTTCCCAGGTGCCATTTGACGTCACTAACTGCTGCGTCTGAAGAAACAGACAATTTTATAATTTTTCTATTATTAAATTAAACTGTCATAACCTAACCAAACGTGCTGATAATAAAAAAATCGAATGAAGGTTTACTAATCCAAAAAATAGTTTTGTTCATAAAATAAAATTTTAAATGCCTAAAATTCAATTTTATAATTGTTTAGTTATAAAATTAAACCGTCATAACCTAACCAAACCAACCAAACTTGCTGATACGAAAAAAATTGTTGACAAAAAGTTAGTGCTACCAGCGAGATTCGAACCCGGTACATTCAGATTATCCACTACACACCAGATTATCCACACAGATTATCCACTTCGGACACAATATCCACTACACCACCGAGGCCGATGGCTCTAAATCGTATCGTTGCGGTAATGGTGTTCCTTCAAAGAGATGACAGCAGTTAGTGACGTCAAACGGCACCTGAGAAATCTTCCGTGTGCCGTTTGGGGTAATAAATTTAAAGAATAACATACAAATAAGTACAGCTGAGATATTTTTAACATTAGGTGTATGGAAAGTTTCCTTTGGAAAGCAATTACGACCTTATAGGACAATTTAAGATATAATGGATAGTTTTGTGCAAGGTTTTTCGCCATGACGAACATTTTAAGTATATGGTTTATGGTTTATGAACTATATATTATTAGGCCTACATTATGTAGGCCTATACATACATATATTTTTGTTTTGCGAGTTAGTTTAAAAACTTCTAAAAGAGGTGTGTAGTACGACAAATATAGTTGATCACATAACGAAAGTGTTTTTCGAACCTCACACATTTCCACCTCAGCTTTGCCTCAATCATTGAGCTTGTGTCCAACAGAGTCTATTTAGGCTCTAGCAATTCAAAATAATAATACAATATCAATTATAATAATAATAATAACAATACAAAACTGTTAAAAAAACAAGGAATTACTAGAAATAAAATTTAGTGCTAGTATGAGATGCACTGAGAACTCTAGAGACACTTGTGCCTTCAAATCTTCCCTCTCCTTCTCCCTTTAACTCTAGGATATTGATCTTGGTTTTTGGTATCTGTCTACTTTATTAATTGGTCAAAATTGGTAAAAATGTATCTGACCACGGCAACTTACTAAACATGTTTTGCATTTACCAATAATGGCATTTGAGATAATTTCTCGCCTATCCAAATTTCTAACTTGACGCAATAACTAAGGAAATGCCAGTCACAAATGAACGTCCCACAACAAAATTCAGACTTTCCCTAGTCAAGTCATGAATATTGACTTGTACTCCTCTAATTCCTGGTCGGCTGGACACCCTGTTATAAGTACTTATTGTGCTCAAAATATTATTGCTTAAAATATCACAATTAATTAACATTGTGGAATGCATGTTACAACTGGCGAGCCTCGTCTTGATCAGTCTCCTCAGGATGGAGGAGGGAGGGGTGTGTGGGCAGCTCCTGGCGGGGGGAGTGGCGCTGGAACCTCTCCCTCAGGCGGCACCAAACCTTCACCAGCCGTCTACAAACATGTTCATATCAAACAAGACCATTATATTGACATAGCAAGGGAAATAATTAAAACCACAGTTAAATAAACCACATCAAGTACATACTCTTCCTGGTATGTACCTTTACCTTTATCTTTTACCTTCCGTCGCAAACTTGTGCCAGAAGAAACTGAATTGTTCATGTAAAAAAGATCATAGGATAGATAATAGTTTTAGGTAACAATTTTACCATAACCATGCATAAACAGGGCTACAAATATGAGCTTCTATCATAGGAAAAGTGTGTAGTCTTAGTATTTATTCTAAACTAGATACAACATGCGTATTTTATAAGGTTTGACTAAGCTAGAGCAACTAAACTGAATGTTACAACTGAATTACAATAAAACTGAATTACAATAATCATATTGTACGGGAAAATGAATTAATGATGTAAAACATATTACCATAACCCCCACCCCATTACTTAACCCCTCGTGAACGTTTTAAGTGCAATTAAAATACATTTTTAAGTAAAAATATACCATGAAATATTAGGAAAGTATATTCAATGAGCTTTAAAAAATGTGATATGCATTCCATCATTGTTGTTTCATTGTCCACTCAATGAACATATTCAACATATTTAAATGTTTAAAATCTGCAAAAATAATGTGTTGCATGGATTTATAATAGTTTCAATATATTTGTAAAGAAGAATGCCTTTATAATTCTTTAAATTAAACTACAAATTATCTAGTAAAATTGTATAGTAGCCTCCCTAGTACCATAAAGTGTTTAACCAATTTTAAGCCAATTTATTTAATTTTTTGATCAGATACATATGCTGTTTCACAATTGGGGACATGACGTGACATTCCAGCCCCCTACTGAGTTGAGGCCTCTTCAGCCACGCTTGGAAACTTTGGCAGTTCAATGGTTTGCTGTTATAGATGTACTGTAAAGTCGTTGTTAGGGATAAATCTTTATACTTAAATAGATAGCTTTTAATGAACAAATACTACAATCATGTCTAATGTACGTGTTGAATTATTGACTTGACACAATTCATGTTAAATGTACTGTTAAAATAATATAATGATTTTTTTTATTTGATTTATTGATTCTTTGACAATTCTCCGAGATAAACATATTAGTACCCTCCCCTCCCCCTAAAAGAGAAATATGCCTGTTGTCTGTTGAATTAATTTTAGAGATGTGCAAGCCTGATATAACTGGGGGCTTTGTATAATCGAGGCTGGTGAGTCAAGTTTTTATATGTATAGAATAATTGACATATAGCTGTAATGTAAATTGATTATTAGTCACAAATCTTCTTTTAAAAATTCAATTTGATGAAATGGTCTATTTGGACAAGTAGTATCAAATTTAAGAATTGCAAATTACTAATTAGGATTAATGTGTATTTATGCTGGGACAGTAATACGGTGATCATTTCTCATGGTTATGGACATCATCCCCGTCTCCCTCAGTAGCGGAAAAATTCTGTTCTTCCCCCAAGGTCTTGGAAACATTGTTATTGTTTTCCACAATCGCGACTAATACCTGGACAATAGTGCAGATTTTATCATCAATGTCTCCCATGACCGCAACTATTGAACAGTAAATCCTGGAAAAATTCCATGATCATGGAAAATTATCATCCTTTTCCACAATCTCTGCAAAATCCTGAACATTTGACATCATTATTATCTCTGCAATTGTAGCAATTTTTTTCATTTTTCAATGTCCTGGAAAATATCATCATCTCTCACGATCACAAAATTTTAAAATTTCTATTGCTTTCTGTGATTCCGGTAAGATATTGAACATCCCTCAAGGTTACAAACATATCATCATCGTCTCCCACGATCACAGAAATCTTATCGCCGTCAGCTGCAGTGAAGGTGAAAACATGAATCTTTAGCGCAATCTTCGCATATGTGTTCTGCAATTACACCGCGATCAAAGCTTGGGCTTGGCTCAAGCTCAAGTTTCTGACTTGGCTTTCGAATCCTTGAGCTTGAAGGATAGGCCAATTATGTGCAAATAAATAATGTCTAATGTCTAGGCTCAGCTGGGCTCAAAAGCCAGTCGCTTGCACATATCTATTTCAATTTTATTTATGTTTTCTATTTTGTTGTGTTCCTAAATTTGCCTGTATGAATAAATAATTTGTTAACATACTGCAGCAAAAACAGCCGTTTTTAATGCATGCCTTGCTTAAGTAACATTTTTACTCTGGTAAAAAGTGTTTTTAGAACCTGGGGAGTAAAAGTCAGCTGTTGTCAACTCAATTGTAAATTTTTTTGTAAACAATCGCATGTATTTCAGCATGTATTGATTGTTTAATCGATTGTGGCTTATTGTTGCCTTATTGTAAATAGTTCGACATATCGATAGTATTATGTATGCTAACACAATCGTTATAGATAATACAATTAAATCACTTAATAAACAGCTGCTTGTTTCCATTAGCAAATTAAATTGAAAACATGTTAGAAATGGTTTTGCCAGGTTATCATTAAATGAAAACTATTTTAGTTTCGTAACATTAATAGTCTGTTCAAATAATAATGCAATATGACAAAAAACATAGTTCATCACAAGGGTAAAAGGGGTCTTTTCAACCCTCGCTTATTTTCACCTCGGCTTCGCCTTGATCATAAAACATGTGCTCGGGTCAAAAAGAGTCACTTAGGCCCTAGTGATGAAATATAGTATTTCATTTCATTTTTCACCTCAAATTAATTAATTTATTCCACAAACTTTTAATTCAGAAAAAATGACTATTTTAAGTTAAAAGACAGGGAATGTAAATTTAATTCTTTTGACATTTTGACATTTTAAAATACATTTTATATGAGAACTGTTCAAATGATGTTCTTATTAGTTGCTATCTAATGTCGACCAGTTGTGTTTATAGCATCATTGATTGATAGCCCAACCACAAATGGCATCATCTGGGTCAGATAACAATCTCGCTTAGACTACTACTATAACTACTTGACTACCAAGACAATTTTAAATCACAGTTTTTTTACTAACATACTACTGTAGTTTAAATCTTATGATCGGTTTATTGAAACTTCTGCTACATTAAATTCCTTTCTCCACTACTTCAAATTGACAATTGAGTACAGTTTAAGCATCATAGTGTAACATATTCAAAACATGATCTCACCTTTTGCTTTTGATGATTTTTTCTCAAAACCCAGGATTTACCTAATCTGTTTCCATCCTGTGCAAGTTTCAGAAAGCTAAAAATTGCCCTAACCAAAAACAGTATTTGAGTTAGTAAAAGTATTTACCAGGTTTAAATCTCCGTACAAATTAATATTTAGCAATAAATACATAGATTCAAGTAGGGATGGACGAGATTGGATTTTTAGTTCGAGACGAGACGAGACGAGATTTTTAATTTCTCATAAAATTTCGAGACGAGATCGAGACGGGATTTCCCTTCTCATACACAACGGGAAATGCACTTTCAGAATTTTTACCTGATTTTGTAACATTGTTAGATGACTGTTTAAATACAAAAATAATGAAAATAAGCAATAATATTTACAATCTTTTATTAAATAAAAAACATCAGCATAACATTTTTTTATTAATCACGCCTAACTTATTAAAAATGCCTACTATTAGGACACATGAGGGTTTAGGAAACATAGTGATATCAGTTAGGATAGAGTTCAACTTATCCTAAAATAAAATAAATCATAAAATAAAAATATTAATTTTTATAAAATAGTTACTTGTTTTGACTTTTTTATAGTAATAAAACATTCCTCAAACTGCTAACACTTAACAAAACTTCTCAAGTGTTATTAAAATAATTAAAGTAATATTTACATTTGAAGAATTAATTAAATAAGAACGCCTTCACAAAGGAAACGCAACTACAACACGCTCCTGTATTGCGGGTATTGCATTGACTTTCTGCAGGCGTTTTTTTTTTTTTTTTTTTTTTTTATTCTCGTCTCGATAAAAATCTCGGCCTAAAAGAAATCTCGTCTCATGTAACGAGATTTAAAATTTCCCGAAAATTTCCCGAAATTTCGAGACTTGACCATCCCTAGATTCAAGTTTCAATGTTTAACCTTTTTCCCATTGAAAATATTGAAGTTGATCCATCATTAAAAAAAATAAAATTAGCTGTAAAATTACTGACACAAATCAAGGTAAAGTGTTAAGTAGTAAAATTAACAATCACAAAACCAATAGCAAATGCATTATACGCTTGAACAACATTTAGTACACTTTTCACCTACATAATGTTGTAATGTATGTTTCATTGAGTTATTCCAACTGCATTGATATAATTCAGCTATTAGTTTTTAGTTGTGAGATTGCTAGGAAATAATTCCAGTCTGATTCTATTGCGTTGGAATGATGCTGCTAATCCTTAGACATGGACTCCTTAAACACAATGACATTATATTATAAACCTTATTGTTACCTATATCTTTTTCAAATGTGGATGAACTGTGGATTTTATCATTATGTAGTGATGTGTCAAAACTTTATCTCAAATCTCAAAACCATTAAAACTTTGAAAATTTTTAGGTTTTGAGATTCAATCGGGGAGTTTAGCAATTCAAAAGTTTCAAAATTGATGATTTTGCCATCTCTTTTATATTGTTTAGGCCTATAATACCATTTACAATCAAGCTGGTGCAATGGAGCAAACAGTTCACCAGTAACACTGATGAAACAAGTAACTTATAGTATGAAGTGGTATCATAAAGAGTTAAATACTAATACTGGATCAATGTACAATGCAGTTTTGTATGATATTAATTAATCAACACATATGTTGACCACTTAATGTTTTAGTTGATCTAACATTCTAGTCCTGGAGCTGGCTATACTTTAGTGTGCAAACTTGCGTATACTCTATATTCTTGCATAACGTTTTAGTTTGATGTTTAGGGAGTTTAAAAAACCTGGGTGTTTGTGTTTACCTCCTACTCCCCTTGTTTTCTGGCTATGACGTAATCAAATCATTGATTTATTAAAAGCGTATATTTCGCAAACTATTTGTCGGATCGGAATGAAATTTTTTGTTTGAAAGATAAGTTTGAATGCTATCTGTTTTACATTTACACATTTGTTGTATGTTTAGTACATTTTTTGTAATTTTGCAAAAACCTGTATTTTTAAATATTTTTGTGTTTTTTTTGTTTTTAACGTTTTATTGATACAATATATCAAACACCACCAATGAAAAAAGTTGTAGAACGTTTAAAAAGCTTTACAAAAATACCAAATTCGATATGTTTTACTCAAAAGATTACGTCAAGAAACTAGATAAATCTCATAAAATCACCTCTTTTGGTGCAAAAACGCCTATTAGTCTGGCATCTAGGGCAGTGCGCAAGTCTTGTATAGACAGGTTTACCATTCATTGTTGATGTATGTGTCTAAATAAGTGTTCTCAACTCGGGTGTCACGTCTGCACCCACTGCAGTTTCCGGTTATGACGTCATCAAAATGGCGGAAAGGGCTATATTAAAAAATAACTACATTTTACATACCTTGTATCGGATCGGAATGAACTTTTTTGTTTGAAAGATAAGTTTACATGCTATCATTCATAAATTTACTCTTTTAATATGTTGGTAATGTTGGTACACGTGCTATCAGGTATTCCAGTCGTCCACCCAACCTTTGCAGTGATAAAGTTCGATCAGTCGGTCGTCAGTTTTTAGCTGTGCACGTGCCTGAATGTTTTCGTTTTGTGTCCGTGTCTTGTGTTGCATGTACTATTTATTAAACTTTGACACAATGAAAATGAAGAAACCTCGTAAAAAATGTAAATATGTAAATAGGCCTAGTTCAGTTTAGTGTATGATGACTACGCACCCGTCGATTGAGTTATCTCCGAAACGGCCGTAGTGCTCATTTAACTCAGGATTGCAAAGACTGTAAGTAGCCATATATATTTATTACACGCAATCTGCCACACTGAATAATCTTATTTACTCTTTTGTTGTATGTTTAGTACATTTTTGCGTAATTTTGCAAAAACCTATATTTTTAAACATTTTTGTGTTATTTTTGTTGATAACGTTTTATTGATACAATATATCAGAAATAACTTAAAGGGTAGGTTGTAGCACGTTAAAAGGGCTTTACAAAAATACCAAATTCGATATACTTTACTCAAAGGATCACGTCAAAAAACTAGAAAAATCTTACAAAAGAAATTAATTTGGCGCAAAAACGCATATAAATCTGACATCGATGGCTGTGTACAAGTCATATATAGACAGTTTTACCATTCAATGTTGATGTATGTTTCTAAAGAAGTGTTTTTAAATCGGGTGTCACGTCTGGACCCACTTAAGTTTCTGGTTATGATGTCTTTAAAATTGCTACATGTTACAATTTCACCAACTATTTTACTTAAAATAAGACCATTACCCCCTTTTGTCTATATATATATATATATATATAATACAAAGTATGTTTGGTTATCCTTTATGGACTCCGAAACCACTTGACAGATTGTAATTAAACTTTCAGGCATTATTATTAAGCAACCGTACCGTACCCCTAGTATTTAGATATGTCAGAGTTTGAAATGTTAGCAATTCGAGTATAGGCTACAGTATCACTCCAATTAGATAAATCACAGAGGCCTTCACTGACAGCATGAAGCAAAAGTAAGAGAATAGGACATTAAACATGTCAACATTAGTTAAACCTTTGCAACAACCATGCTGACTTATGACATGTAAAGTATGGTGTGGTAGTCTAGGATTACGTTTATAGCGTACAATTGTCGCAGTCGCAGTTGCACATGCTGGTAAGCCGTCATGAGGGCGATATGTCGCTTAGGGGCCTCTATGTCCTCTGAGATCTGCTGACGAACAAACAGCGCTGGGTCTATCACCACGTTGTCATCTGGATGTATAAACAGAGCAACACTGTGGCGGCTTCGGGTGCGTAGTTTAGACTCATCGGGAATCACCACTCTGTGTTTCTGTAATATGTTTTCATATCAATAATATAGAAAGTTTAGCAATTATCAACAACGATTTAAACAGTTAAACTACTGAATCTTATCTGAAAACCGTTAAACCCTGGTCTTGTGTTAGTGACTATTTTTATTAGGTTAATATTGAACTAGGGCGTTCATGGAAGCATCACTAATAGGACTGTAAAGGGCCGTACGGAACCAGCTGGTAATGTAATGGCCCTGCAGGTCAATTTGTGCTGCCTCAAGTTAAGGTGGCAAGGAGTATACACTATACACGACTGCAGGAGGGGTCGCAGAAAATTTATCCCCCTGGAATTTTACCCCCGGGCAAAGCTGACGTCACTATGACGTAGAATTCTTTTTTTCTATGCCTATACAAAGTTGCCTGTCACCGTCACTCACTGTCACTATGATTATGTAGATTTGGCCTACAGAATTTGTTCTCATTGATCTCATATTGGTTTTTGCTATTCTTAAATTTGATTTCAGGTCCGCTAATTACTAAACAATTCTGAATACTATTTAAATATTAGACTAGGCGGGGGTTATTCAGGTTTTTGCCGTGACCACGAGAGATAATGACGATGTCCAAACAACCAGTGGAAACTTGATAACATGATGGAATTGGAATCTAGAATTGAGAATCATTTTCTATGAATCAAAATCAGATTTGATCATTTCTGGAATCAACCCATCAATACTAGGCATAGTGATGTGGGCCGGGTAAATACCCAGTGGGTAGGTAAATATAAATTGGGTTTTTACCCGGGTATTTACCCCAGGCCCGGGTAAATACCCAAAAACTGGGTATTTATAATTTTTATTAAAGTTAGAGAAGATTTAGATGTTTTTTGCAATTATTACCTTGCAAGGATAGTAAAATGATGATAAAATGTGTTAAACAAAATTTCATATGGTCACTACTGGCATTTTACTTCTGGTTATAATCGGCATAAATACCCTGGTCGCATGGTTGCTGCACAGGTCCTGACTACTTATGATTTTTTTAATTTCTATGATAGATAGATGAATTTATTTGATTGAAAGTGAAAAAAAATAATTTGCAAAGTACCTAATAATTATTATTTAGAAAGACAGGAAAATTTAACCTAGTAGTAGCCTATGTGTAAACAACTTAAGAAAAATAATTTTAAAATTCAATCTGTAGGATGGCAGGATTTATAATTTTTGTTCTAAATCTTTTGTTGGTAGGCTATCAATGGTATCAAAATATAAAAAAAACTAATTTCATAAACTTGTGATACAAAACATTGGAATCTATAGCACAATAAATCTTTCAAAATTATATTAGGTTCGACCAAAAAACAGGAGATACGTTTTTTAGTAGGTTTATCCAAATATATTATTGTTTCCAACCAAGCGGTAACACAGAAAAGTTTAATTAAGCCTACTTATAAGTATTCTATCATTCTGCCTAGATGTCAAATAGGCCTTAGGTCTGTCTAGCCTTCCAAACCATTTATACAATAACAATTTTGCATCATAAGTACCCAACAATTCCTGGATATTTATAAATTAAAATAATTTTGTTTATGTTATTTAATTGGTTATAAATTTATGAAATTATAAAAATTGAAATAGCCACAGCCTTTTTTAATATACCAATATTTTTTAGTGAGTTAAATTTAACTGATGTTACTCGATTTAAGACACAAAACCCCATGCTTATTTAGAAATTTTATGTATTATTAAAAAAAAGTGCTAAATCATTAAGCGAGCAAAGCTTCAAGTTACTGTAAAAGGTGTTATTGACTATCCTAATTTATCATGTAATAACAATAACATATTTAGGGGTAGGGAATTTCAATTTATTTTATAAATACCCAAAATACCCGGGTATTTATGGATTTTGGGTATTTACCCGGGTAAATACCCAGGGTATTTACCCCGAGTTTTAAATACCTGGGTATTTTACATCACTAACTAGGCATGACTGATTATACACATAAAACAATAATCAGTGGATGTATTAAATACTGTATTAGATTTTTAAGAGATTTTCATAACGTCAATGCAAATTAATTATCACGTTTACGTCCATTTATATAGTATTATGTTTTTATGGGATTGTACTGCGTGTTTATGGTGTGTTGGATTAACCGTGGTTTTCAGTTATCCGTGGTCTCCCTCCCCCCTATTACCCCGGATAATTGAGGTTCATCTGTATTAGGCCTACTTATGATTAATTTTACGAAAAGTACATACATACATTAAATAACACCTGAAACACATTTTTAAGCTAATACTCTTTTAACAAGACAGTAAATAAATATAAAAAATGTTAGTGGTGATAGATTTCAATCAGACACTCAAATCATGCTTTTCACCTCACTATGAAAATATTTGATCAGAAAAAGCTCGAAGCTTCAGGTTTTTTGTAAACTCCACTTGCCAGACTCAGAGATTCATAGCTTGCACATCCCTAATATTATACTTACAAGAGCTTTATACCGTGAGGACGTCCAAGTCTGCAGCAAATTCCCAAGGTTTACAAGAATAGCTCCAGGTAAATGTCCCACTCTGCACCACTTGCCTCCAGAGAATACCTGCAGTACAACACTTGTCAAACATGTCAACATCTGATGGACCAACTACATAACACGTTCGCTACCACAATAGGCCCTAGCGCTAAACTTTTTATTCATAAGGACCAGCGATGCACATATACGACAGCCGGTTTCAACCCATAGACTGCCGTCGTATATATGCGATGGCTGGTCACATTAAAATAAACTGACGCCGCATATTTGCGTCTTTGTACCAATGTTATTTAAAATCTTATATCTACGTAATGGTCTATTTGAATGCCCTGAAAGTTCTGCAGTGGTCTACAAAGATGTCTGTCCCGTATGTGCGTCACTTGTTCTGTGGATATGATGATTAGTGATGTCATATGATATTAGGCAAAACAGATTTTAAATTGCTGCATCACTGGTCTGTGGCCTGCGTCTACAAACCAAGGGACACCCGGTCTAGATGTGTAATATTAAAATGTAAACCTCAGTCTGTGACAATGACCGCAGCGTCGCATATATGTGGCGATCGGTAGAGAACGTGTTAACAGATCACAAAGGTTTACCAGAATGAGAAAGCTCTCTCTGTATTATTCACATAAAAATTAAAATTTTAGTAGATTTTATGGAAGAAAAAACCAATAAGTGCTAAGCCATTAATATATTTTAGATAATTTTCATAGCAATGCATTTTTTAGTCTCTTGAGCTGCTATTTAATTTGTTGAATATTTTTATGTTTTGTGTTTGAAATCAATATGGGTGGTTCAGTTTTACCTCAAGTCCTCCCTCAGTGTCTTGGGTCAGTAAAGTAAAGCTGCCGTAGTCGGTGTGTTCTCCACAACGAGTGGCGCAGGGCAGAGGCGCCTCCCCCAGTGGAGGGTAATACAACAGACGGAATGTGGTTAAGTTTTTCTCCCGCAACATGCCACTGTGGAAGCTCAGGAATGTATCAGGATTCAGATCTACACAAGAAGCAGGTTTAATGTGAACCAACTCAATGATTTACCATCTTTTTGACATGTTAATATGGTTTAACTGCAGACTTACTAAAAGGTAAAAATATTTTATGCAGCCAAACATTGTTGTTTTCTATAAGACTTATTAAAAATTATTTTTTAAATAGTATTATTTAGGCTATTGCTTACTCGCTGCTATACTTTGCAACGTAGAGGGAAAAGTTTGGTTCTTCAAGTTATCATATGAAATAGATAACATCCATAATCAGTTTTTGAAACAAAATTCATATGCACCACTTCGTCTTAGGCTATTCAGTACAATATGGGTAGCGCAAATGAACGTATGAAACTGTGTGATAAACTTTTAAAAGTTATGCTTACTTAAAAGAGTATTTACTTTGAAAAAACAGGGCTATATTTAAATTACCTCAGGGTACAATGTAGCAACAAATCAGTTAGTTGACATATTAAGATTCACACTTATCATTGACTATAGACACTAAAAAAATAGCTATACTCTTACCATTGATTAAAGAAAAAAAGGTAGGCCTACACTGCGTACAACGAATGACTACCTGAATTTTGGTTACATTTAGTATATTAATAGTCATTGGTATAGCTCAGTTGTATGGTATTTCCTTTTGTTGGATTTAAGCAGCTATTTAGCAAAACCCTATCACTAAATTTAAACCATCATGGCACAGAAGTGTAACCAAGCATAAAATCTTCTGATTTTACAATAGGATACGAAGTGTAGTATAGTCATTTGCTTAATAAAGTCAAAGACAAAAGAAAAGGTAAGTAGTTGCTTCTATTGGGCAAACCAACCCCTCAGAATTTCAACCAGTGCAACGCACACCCAACCTTGCCTAATACAGTGCAACACTGTAGTCATCATTACTCATACATCAATTTTTGACAAAGGATATAATTTCATTTATTTATTTTAACATTTCTTTCTACACAACCACTTTTACTAATTAACAGAAGCAACCAGCCAAAGCTTGCCTAAAAACTGTCAAAGCTTTATCACACATATTTTTTTTAGTTTCAAGAAAATGTTCAAGACTGTATTGGACTAAGGCAAATAAACTATGTTGTAGATAGGGATGGGCCAATTGCGATTCTCGATACCTCGATACCTTCGATACCAGTGGTATCGAAGAATCGCTGATACTCGATACTTCGCTTCATTGTACTCTATACCGATTCTGAAAAGTGAGGTTAATTATGATGCTAAACTCAACTGACGTTGAAGGTTGTAAAGAGTGGAACATCATAGTTTATTTGGAATACTCTTAAGTCAGCTAAGATAAACAATTCCACGTTCATTATCTCACATTTGTAATAGTTTTATAATCCAAAATAGCTTGCCTTTGCATTTTACAACGAATGTGCCCTTGCATTTTACAACGAATGTGCCGTTGCATTTCATTTCACAACGAATGACGTGTTCAACTGACAATTAGTAGAACAGAACTCTAGTTGAATGATAGAGGCTTATCACTTGCCGCCATGTTGTCAGGGCACTGCCAGATGGTACAAGCATTGAATATGTAAATATACACATAATGTGTATATAATCAATGGTACAACTCACATTTTCTATCTCGTGATAGGCTTTATGTACATTTCATTATCAGCTCAAGAGCTTGATAACTTGCTGATCATAGTGTATAATATCATTGACTATAAACACACTTCCTGAGTACATAATCAATGGTGGATCCTTTAACCCTCTAAGTATCGCCCACCCCATATTGGGCAGGTTTTCTGATGCGTACGAGTGTCGCCCGCCTAAACATTGTTTAACTTATGTTTTGGTTTTGTTTTTTGTTTGCTATGTGTGGCTGTGTGCGTAGTGCGTTGTTCAAAATGGGTTAGTAATGTGACGAACCTTTTACTTTTATGTGATTGTTAAGTGATATTGATGATGACAATATTGAAGATGACTTTGATATTGACTTTGAGTCTATAACTCAAGCAATAAGGAACATTCATTGTAGGTCTAGATGTACAAATTCTTATGCAAACAAAAAACTCATTGAACATTTTAGGCGTTGATTGTCTCAATTTAATTTAATAAAATACATTTTTTTTTCTATGTATGTTCACCAATTTCCCTGTGATTCTTTTACCGATCAGTGTGGTTCCACCACCAAAATAACCAGGAGAGTTTCTATTTGGTCCCATATATATTATGTTTAAGTGTAATATTTTTTTTCGGTGAAAAATGGTGAAAACATTGCCACAAACAAATTGAGAACCTCCTCCTTTTGTTGGTCTTCTTTTGGTATGTATAATGTACCAAAATGTATGTCTTCTTGAAGTATCTTATTTTCCTCATAGGCTAACTTAAATAATCTATGAAACCTTAGTCAATAGCAATGCAGTTATCTTATTGTATAAAGATTAAATTAAAAAAAAAACATGCTCCTTTATTTATAGAGATAGTGAGAAGCACACATAAGTTATATGTGTTATTGAATAAAATCGGTATCGAGTGCGAAATTGAGAATCAAAACCATATTGTCAAAATCAAATCTACTTCAAAACCAGTAGATGTGAGTCACACTTGTGTGCTCTACAACCCGAAAAATATTTTAACGCTAGATCCAGACCACCCTGTATATATCACTACTTCACGCCTGTTAGTTTTACTGTAAAATTGCTAAATATTTCTGAATGAAGTTTAATTAAGAAAATTGTTTGGTTAAAGAAAGAGTGTTGATGTTATACCTCCTCACTTATTCAATTAATATTTCAAATGTCCCTCCATTATACGTCACAAATTATATTAGTCTCTGACTGTGTAGCTGAGTGGTTTTAGTTCTTGCCTAGCAATCAAAAGGTTGCCAGACATATCCTGAGAAAAGTCAGTAACTTTGTGATGGTTCAAAACTGGGCCCACCTGACCCTGATTATTATTGGGCTTAAAATAAATGATCCTGCCTAATGAAACAGCTGATCTTAATCTGTAACAAAGTTACACAGAACTCACTCCATTCTACACATATCCTTCACTCATATTTGGGTTGAAATACACATCTACAGACGGGACCACGAAAGTTTGCAGTTGGCAGCAGCCAATCACAAGACAAGGCTAGTGTGACGTTGCCAAATCGCCTGTTGACGACACTAATCAAAATACTAAACAATATTTTCAAATCAGCTGGTATTATTAGATTTGGCAATACTGCACTGTCCTCATTGCCTCCTTCGAAGTCACGTGGTAAATAGGCTCCTCCCTCAACTGCAAACTTCCGTGGTCCCGACTTTATTTGGCGTCCCTACCTCAATTCATAATGATAAAATAATAATAATAATAATAATTTTTTACCAAGAGAAACTGCAAGAAGTTGCAAGAAGACTGAGGCAAGTTTACGGAACTCTTCTGCAACACCTCCAACAGTGTCCTCAAATATTGGGATCTCTTTAGTTGGTATTTTCTTTGAGAAATCTTGAATATTATAGGAATGTCTCATTTCTCTTCTTCTGTCTATTGTGAATCTGTAATTTTTTTACATGTCAGACCCTAAATTTTTACTATGACTTTCAGTAAGTATCTAAGTAAATTGACAATTATTATGTTCTAAAGTAGACCAAGAACTATCAATCTTACCTGAGAGGTTTTACCACTAAAGGTTGTGTCACTTGTAGCGACTTTGCTCAATAATTGCATGATAAGATATTTAAAATGTTATAGTGTACAGGTGTACGTATAGTAAATTTGCTACTTTCTAGTAAAAACAACTCTGGTTCACTATAAGTAGTGTTTAATTATTTTTTTAATAAGGACAATGTTGAAAAGTGCAAAAAAATTGATTCTACTTCAAAATTTGTACATATTGTATTGTAGGCCTACAATCTGATATCGGGAAACATGTAACAGCAATAATTTTATATGGGTTTTAATGATTTTGACACCATTGGTGCGACTCTTAGAAACTTTTATCCCGACCAAAACAATACAAATAGAATTAATTACCTTTCCATGCCGGCAGGGACATATCCTTGATATTCTCCTTCTGTTGGATTGATACAATAGTTGTTTTTTACATCATCTGGAAGGTCGCAGAATTTGTCCATTATCTTGTATACTGATTGAAGCTAAAAGTTTAAACAAATTATCGTGATTACTTGTTCAGATTAAAATTACTTTAAAGAATAAGATACCAAAAATTGAATAGTAAACTTAACTTTAAAACTTTGTATACAATGTACATGATTTACGAATAAAGATGTTTGAATATGAAATATGAATATGAATATACCTAACATACAGAATTTTTGATTATTAAATCACCTGCTTGAACATCTACATGAAATGTTACTACTGTATTGTTACAATTGATGGGCTCCATTTACCCAGTATTTAAATTCAAAGAATCTATAACATGATCAAATAAGTCTCAGGCAAGGTATTTCTACAGTAGACTCCCTCTTATCCGGACTCCTCGGGACCGTAACTAGTCCGGATAACGGTTTTTCTGGTTAAACCGATGTTCCCAAAAACTTGTTAAAACGGACCATTTAAATGCATACTGCATACAGTATTTGACTTAACTTTAGGAGAGCATTGCAATTAGACACGTGATCACTGGTCCCAAATCTTTCCCACAAGAACAGTCGTTTTAGTACTGGCCACTTCCTGCCGATCTAGTCCGGTTAAACTGATATGCTGATAAAAATTGTCCAGTTAAAGAGATGTCATTTCTGCCGAGTGTAGTCCGGTTAAAACGATGTCCGGTTAAAAGGTGTCTGGATAAGAGGGACTCTACAGTCTACTATACGTGTTTATCAGTGTCCTTTGGAGTCATACCTTTAATAGTTGTTGCATCAGTTAATTTTTTTAGCTAGTCTAGCCAGCGACTATAGAATTAGAATAGACAGGGCATGCCAAACATAAGAGTGAAGCCAGTCGCAAAGCCTCATACACATGCAACAAGGTGGCTGCAGTGATGAGTCACCCTGTCACCCTAGGACAGCGCCCTCGCTAGGTAATAGCAGCGGGAGGATGTGGATTACCCTGCCACTGTCAGTCATTCACAGAGGTTGTGGAAAAAGAGGTTTCCATTTTATGAGGTTCAAATTTTAAATATTATGGGGAGTAAGTTTGTTTACAAATATTATCACATAGCAAAAATTGATTTCTAAAGCTTTAATAAACACAGCTGTTGGTTTAATTTCCATTAGCAACGCGATTTATCTTCCGATGCCGACTGTATCCATGGAATACTAATCAACAGCAAGTGTTTGAATTTTGAAAGCATTTCAAGCAATTTAAGGTTGTTTTAAGGTGTTTAAGGTTCTATGGTGTAAATGAAAAGGGAGCACTGATCTTTCTAGGCCCGCTCAACGTTTCTAAGCTTATTCAAGATGTCTGAATGGCTTCAATTCCCGCAATGTAATGACTTATGGCAAGTCTCGTATTTTAATTCTATGGTCGTTGAGTCTAGCAGTAGGAACTTTTTGTACTGTAGGTAGATCTAAATAACATTTTTCTCCCTCAAAGCAATAAACCAAAACAGAAATTGTTCAACACCCTGTACTACACTGGTTTTTAGGTGTTTTAAATTTTTATTTATTTGGGATGTGTTAAAAAAAAACATTGTATGTAGGTCTATTTTTTTTACCACGGATCTGGTTTTCTTAAATTTGTACATGTCAATGATAATTTATTTTATAGGTACAGTAGACTTCCTCTTATCCGGACTCCTCGGGGCCGGGGCCGGGGCCAGTCCGGATAACGGGTTTTCCGGTTAAACCGACGTCGACGTCCCTAAAAACTTGTTAAAATGGACTGTTTACTGTGATATTCGACTTAAATTTAGGAAAGCGTTGTATTTAGACACGTGATCTCTGGTCTCAAATCGTTCCCACAAGAACAGTTGTTTCAGTACTGCCCACTTCCTGCCGATCTAGTCCGGTTGAACCAATGTGCTGATAAAAATTGTCTGGTTAAAGAGATGTCATTTCCGCAGAGTGTAGTCCGGTTAAACCGATGTCCGGTTAAAAGGTGTCCTGATAAGAGGGAGTCTACTGTACTGGAATCAAACCTGGAAACTTATTTTCAAACCCTTTCTTGGCATAAAACCAATAATTTACTTTTAACCTATTCTTATAACTCTTCTAGCTTGGGGAAATACCATGTTGTGTCCTATTTACAATAAATTCCCAATTACAATAAAACTCATAGATAACTATGCAACAATGCATATCAGCTGATCGACAATGAAGTACTGTCAATGAATACACAAACTATAAAGAAGAACAGGTCCTATGGACAATATTCTAACAGTATTTTCAAATTTGGCGCCCGAAATATCTGTAGTTCTGCACTGAACCACCACTCAGCGCTGTAGTCAAGTTTAGCACGCGGTGAAGTGCGAGAGAGAGCAACATACACTGTTTTCGCCCCTCTCTCTTTCTCTCGTGGCCTGGCCCACAGGGGACGAAAACAGTGTATGTCGCTCTCTCTCGCACTTCACCGCATGCTAAACTTGACTACAGCGCTGAGTGGTGGTTCAGTGCAGAACTACAGATATTTCGCGCGCCAAATTTGAAAATACTGTTAGAATATTGTCCATAGGACCTGTTCTTCTTTATAGTTTGTGTATTCATTGGTACTGTAGAGTCAAGAAAAGCGGTATACCAATATATAAGCTTGTTTTGTCATCGAAATATATCTCACAGGACTTTAAAATTTGGGTTGCGGTTGAAAAAAAAAAACACACCCTGTCGTTGTGTGTATAGTATTTATTGTGTTTAGTTGGTTGTGTGGGTATGGTTATTAGAAGTATTAGAACTAGTCAACCTTGCCCTCTTTTATCTTGGATAACTATACTGTCTATAAGCCTACTGTAATAGTTATCTGTTTGGTTTATTTAGACTTTGATATACTCATCATCAGTAGACTTCCTTCCTAAACAAAATTGTATGATCAATCATATGTTATGTTTAAAGAATAATGTTTTACATATTAAAGAGACACTAAAAACACATTAATTAAGGTTAACCATAAGCAATTTTTAATGAGTGGGCTAGGTAGAAGAATAGTATTTTTCACTACTAGTCGGCGAAATAGTGTTTTACAAGCAAGTCAAATACGAGCATGGGAGAGCCCTGAAATGGAAATTTTGTGACGAGTACTGAACGATACTTTTTATCACAATGAAAAAACTACTTCATCAAACTTCAAAAAATTACCTGATATTTCGTATTCTATTCAATTTTCCAGTTGCAACTTTGTTGATGTCAGACAAAGTATTGTTTGTGTAGTGAATGTAATGTTTATGTCAGGAAAAGTCAGCTGATCACTATTTGTTTTTTGTTGTGTGGAAATTGACGATTTGCCAAGATCTCAGCTGTATGGAAAGTTGTTATTTCAGAATACAGAGTGATGAGAAATGTATTGTTCATTTGAGGTAGGCCTAACACATTTTTAGATCAAATTAATAACTCAGTAGGGTCAAGGTCAAGTAAAACACGCACATACACTAATATTTGTTTTAAAACACATCTGCAATCAAACTTACCCTTTCTTCCGTAATCCCATGGTTTACAAGAAAAACCAATCCTTTGCTTGTCAATGATCTGTTTAACTGATCTGCAATTTTCTTCAGCCATGGTTTAATAGGGGTTGTTACTGGGCCTGAAAAATAACCAATTCTCAATGGGATACTTCTTTCACAAATTCTAACTTACTTACTATCAACATAATGGCTTTTAGCTATAACAAAGAGGTTTGTCATGTGTTATGACTATCTCAGACACATGCATTGATTTTTTCACCTTTGTAACCTAAAACTGAATTACTATCTAGATTAAAGATATTTTGTTTCCCAATATGAAAAACTATATTGTACAGCTCATTGTGTGAGTGAAACCCCAAAAAAAGATGTGCAGTAGCAAAGAGGCTAGTGCACATGGTCAAGCGGAAGACAGAGGCAGAAAGGCCGCTGAGCAATGCAATTCAACAGCAATTCCCATTTTTGAGGGTAATTTTTTCAAAAGTAAATACCCCCGCTGCAGCAAACCTGCCGACTAAGCGAATTTCCATTTGTATGAAATGATTTGCAGTTAAATATATTTTAATAACATTAGGTTTAACAAGTACCTAGGTTTGCTGCTACAAGGAAACTAATAAAGTGTGTTTTTGAGTAAAATATTGATAGCTTAGTACAAAATAAATAAATTTGCCAAGTTTGATCAAAATATATCCATAAACAAGCAAACTACAACATTTGACAATATTCTCCATAAGAATAACATGGGAATTTTAAATTTACAATTTTTTTAATTTTCTCCGTTACTAAAAATTGAACAAAAATTCTTTTATATACTAAATTATTTGTTTTTTTAAGCTCTCAGCAGCTCTTTAAAAAGTTCTAAAGAGAAATCGGGAAATTTTGTGTTTTGAGGGTCAAAAGTGAGAAAAACCAATTTTTACCCCATAAAACCCCCCGTAAAGCCTCGTTCGCATGGTTCGATCGTGCTGGTTCACGACCTCATTCAAGTTTATCCCGCTTTACACCTTTAAACCAAATTTCATCAAAATCGGGCAAAAATTACTCAAGTTATCACGTTCACGGACATGTATATATATATATGTCTATATATATATACATAATTATATAAAAATTTGAACGAATGGTGTTTTTGGCCTCTGGGGACATCAAAATGAAAAAGTAAATCGGTCCTGGGTCTAGGTCTTACCGTGCCACCTACGGTAATAGCTACTTCCCTATAGGGAAATTCGCTAAAATGAGATTTGACTTAAGTCAAGGAACTTATGATAGCGTAAAAGTGTGTTATTCATTGAAAGGTTTTATCATAGCGTGTATGGCTTTCAAACAATGTATGGTATGCAGTCCTCGTTGCCTCAGGGGTACTAGTCTCTTTGATTCGTTTTATGGCAAAGCGAGCTGGCCCGAGTTTTGGCAAAGACAAGCTACATGACGATCCCAGGATAAATTTTCATCAATTATGATACCTAGATGTTTGATTTCTTCAGCTGCTGTCAGTTTGGGCATTTCAGATACTGTAGACTTTTTATTTCCAAAAGTAATTTGCTTGGTCTTACTTTCATTGAGGACTAAGTCATTTTTCATACACAGTAGTCCTGTGTCATATTGAGAGCAATATAGGAGTTTACTTCTAGTTGATCTATGTTTCTGATTGCTGTAAGCAGCACAGTGTCGTCTGTATACATGACCATCTTGCTGTATTCCTCAAGGTGTTCCAGGAAGTCATTAATAAACAGCCCAAACAGAACTGGCCCTAGGACAGAGCCCTGGAGAACTCCTCTGCTAGTCTTAAACTCTATGCTTTCATTTCTTTCAGTTTCACAGGAAGTCTAGAATCAAATGTTTCACTTGCACAAGATAATTCATTGTTAAAAGGAATATAAATGCCTTCAGGAATCAGTGACTATGTATTTTCAATTTCTGGCCTGGTTTATCACATGGCCTGGGAATTTAACTACATTTTTCAATATATTTCGACAGAATTTCAATTAGCTAGGAATGACTAAATTAGAAGTTTTCATAAACATCATATACATCCATAATAGGCCTATTTTCTGCTACCTACTTAGACTCTTTTCATCATTGTAAGTATTCTGATTAGGTCTTTCTTATACAGTTTTTTATCTATGAATAAAAATAATACTAAGCAAATAGGTTGTTTGCAGTATCATGACACATAACATCAATATGAAAGAAAGTTTGTATAGCCTAATAACACCTAATTTTTATGGTATTTTTTGCGATTTTGTGGGTATTTTATAACAATATTTTGACATACTTAAGAGTATAATTTAGTCAGTGAACGGCTACCCTACATCAGCTGTCCTAAAAATTGGTAGTAAAATGTTTGTAAATACTTCTGTAAACATGGGTGACTAAATTATATGCAGTAAGCTGCTCAACAATTCTCTAGTTTATTGGCAGGTTTGAACTAAGGATGTGAATCCAATATTAATAATGTACCAATTGTGTCTTTAATATGCCTATATATTAGGACTCTTAATTAAAATGTAAGTAGGAAAAAGCCGATACTTTAGATAAGTTGTATTTATGTAATTTCATTCACAAACACTCACTGTGAGTTGAGAGCTGCTGTTATAGATAAACGTTATGAAAGATAGGCTAGTGGTTCAAAGTAGTGATGGGGCATTCAAATACAGAATTGAATACAACCAAGGTATTCAAAGATTTCAATACTTCTGGCTGTATTCGAATACAGACATTTTGGCCGGGTTCAATAATACTTTGAAGCCAAACCAATCTAGTTAGAAAAGCTAGAATGAATTCATTCGAATCCGGCCGATCTGTTCCGAGTTTGAATACTCTGAGTACTAGTGTTATGAAAACCTTTGCTTAATTCGCAACAACTTATGAGTTTACTTATTGGAATGGAATCTTCACTGTCTCCGACTCAGGAGGGATCAGTTATTGTCTCAGAAATATGTTGGGGAGGGTCCCTTATTGAATATATGATAGGTGAGAATAAAATCAACCTGACGCTCTGGTTGAGGGGGTGGTGGGGGGGGGGGGGTAAATGCCCCAATTTGCGGTTTTTAGCTTATTACTTGAAAACAGCGTGTCGTAGCTTAAATTGTTCAATGTAAAAGTTAAAGCTTATTAAATTTGATAAAACTTTGGTCATATACATTATCAGTGAAAAACGCATAGTTACAGAGATATCCACGCTCAAAAAGATATAATGTTTGAAAAAAGATTTTTACCTCACATTTTTTGTTAAAATCTTATTTTTTCTCCTTCTATGTTATTTATTCAGAACTATTGGCTGAAAAAAGGTTGTAGAGAATTAAATTTACTTCAATAATATGTACACATATGTAAATATATATGATGTAGGTTAAAAGTTACAGCGTTTTTAAGATTAAAGAGAAAATCGTTAATTACACAAATAGTTGTAAAATCTGGTTTTAGCGAATTTCCCATATAGGGAATAACCTATTACCGTAGTACCCATGGTAAGACCTGGTCATGTAAACCTACGTTTATTCGAACGAGTTCGCGATCCAGCATGATCGGACCATGGGAACGGGGTTTTATGGGGTAAAAATAGGTTTTTCCCATTTTTGACCCAAAAAACATAACATTTAGCAATTTCTTTCCAAACCATTTTGTAGAGCTTAAAAAACAAATAATTTAGTATATTGAAGCGTTATTATGCGCCTAATGGTTACGGAGAAAATTCAAAAAAATTGTAAATTTAAAATTCCCATGTTATTCTTATGGAGAATAAGTAAACTGTTGTAGTTTGCTTGTTTATGAACATATTTTGATCAAATTTGGAAAACGTTTTTATTTCTTACTAACTATTAACATTTTACAAAAAAAACAGTTTTACCCTCCGTGATGCAGCAAACCTAAGTACTTGTTAAACTAATTCTATTTAAATCGGGAATAAATGTTATATTTTTAAGTAGACATTTCAGTGTAAATCAAATCAGTCAAATGGAAATTCGCTTAGTCTGCAGGTTTGCTGCGGCGGGGGTATTTTTATCATTGCACGATTTGTATGGTTTCTTATAATTGTGCCAAACATAATTATATTTAAGGTAATATTTGGTAATAGTTATGTAAATAACGATGTGACAAAATAAAAAGGTTATGTATTTTTTACAATGATCCAAGTTAAAGCAATTAAAACTTACAAAATAAATTCATATTTAATTATAGAACAAATGTTACCTTAGCCTTTGTTCTTGCAATAACAAAGGCTAAGGTAATATAATATAAATCTATAATTAAATATTCTTGTTATTGCCACTGGGAAATACGTTAAAAATGCATATTATAATAAAGATTGATCTTATTCTTTTTCACTGTCTTCTTCCTCATAATCTTCACATTGTAGAGAGATTGTTACATGGTTCAGGCAAGTTCCCTCGCAGGTACATACCTGGGAACAGTGGATGCCGGCTTTCCTGCATCCACACCTGGATCCACATTCAGTAGAGCAGCGACAGAAGATAGATTCCTGGATGCTGGCAGGAGCAGGAGGGTCTACGGTTTTGATCGGGTTGAGAACTCCAATTTCATCTCGAACCCAACCCCATTGTTGAGGATTAAGCGACACATTACCAAGCCACTGTTGAGTTTGTCAATATACTCACAGTGAGTGCTGCTGAGCTGCACTTTTTGTTGGAGGCAAGGTTGATAAATTACTTCTAGCTTTAGCAGAATATTTAACGAATGAAGTGTAGCGATGTTGTTCTAGGTCCCATTTATGTGGGGGGCGCGGTACAAAATGAGGAACATGTCCTCTCCAGCTTTGGTTATGGCAGCCCGGCTTGAAAATAAGTCGTAAAAAGCTTGGGAAATTGTCTCCAATTTTTCTGTTTGGGTTTGGAAAGCTTTAAGAATTGATAGCTTATCCCTGCCAGCTATGGCATTGGTGGTGTCACACCCCGAGAATCCATGCAGAAAAAGTATGCATTTGATGAAGGGAAGCTCCTGCAGTAGTTTGGAGGAGAACAATTTTGTTTCACAGTTACCCCTTCCAGGCTTGAGGAAATAGACAATTTTGTCAAGTGGTCTTAGTGCACATCCTCACCAACAACAACTACAGGGGAATGAGATGTTACCTTGTTCAGTCCACACATGACGATGGAACGAT